TTTTTTTTTTTTTTTTTTTTTTTTTTTTGTTTGTTTGATATTGATAAATACAGTAATCTTTTGATTGTCTTAAACGGTAGAGTCTTATTAGTGAGTAAGTAGTTCAGTTAGTTAATTGGCAGTATAATAATGATTGTTACGAGTATATATGTTCAAATTTTGATAATGCTGTAATTGTATTGTACATATGAGACACGGTGAAATACATGCAAAACTTTAGTTCATCACCTCACTAAACCCCACTTCCATTCATTCCACCAGTTTTGAATATTATTCATGCCTTTTTGTTTTGCCTTTTTTCATCTTCTTTTTCGTTACCTCTTATAAATTTAAGCAATCATTTTAAGGTGACAAGAAGAGAGGAAAAAAAGCACAATAATTTCTGTCTTTCAAATCACCAATCCTGTTTTACTGTTTTCTAATATTTTATTCCGTTGTAACTATTGTTGCAGTTTCCCATTCTCGTTCGTTTTTTTCCCCCATTATCGTAAATATTCTTCGTTCTTTCAAGTAGTGTTTTTTAATTCTTTTTTCTTAAATTTTTGTGAAAAATGTCAAAGTTAACTGAATTTTTGTTTTTGGTAGATATATTGAAACAGTGTTTAGAGTCCACCGTCACGAAAAAACACATCAGCGCTCACATAATGTTAGTATTTTTTGTGTAATGTTTTCAGTGAAAAAACCAAAGAAAAAATGACCGGAAATGTAATATGGTAATGTAAATTTATTTCCATTTAAGAAATGCTTCCTTATTTTTTTCATTAATTTGTTATAGATTAAATTACTGACTTAGTCACCTGTTTTTTTCAAGGAAGAAGGGAGAAAAGAAGAGTCGCATGTGAGTAGGATTCCCAAAAATGTTAAATGAAATTGTAAAAGACTAAGGGGAGAAGATGAGAACCATACATATATATATATATACAAAACCTTTTTTGTTAAAAAATTCTATAAACATCTTCACTTGTACTTGTCGTTTTTGAATGTAACCGCTGTATGTCAATGTTAGCTGACCGAATAAATGAAAAACAAAAAACTCTACCATCACAAAGTCGATAACATATAAATACGTTTTTATTTATTATTTTCGTGAATCAAAAGATGG